TAGCATCTTTATATCTAATTAGATAAGAGAGCCATTTTCAGAAAACCCAGAACCAATTTAGAAAACTCTCCCTTGGGGCACCTGGGTGGCTCAGTCAGTTAAGTGTCTGACTTTGGCTCAGGTCATGATCTCACAGTTCATGAGTTCAAGCCCTGCGTCCCACTCTGTGCTGACACCTCAGAGCCTGGAGCCTGCTTCAGATTCTGTGTCTCCCTCTCTCCCTGTCCCTCCCCTGTTCACGCTCTGTCTCTCTTTCTTTCAAATAAACATTAAAAAAGGAAAAAGAAAACTCCCCCTTAACATTCTGTTCCTCTAGAACCATTCTTCGTACCAAAATCTGTATTAGTCAAGGTTCTCTGGAGAAACAAAAGCAATGGAACATATGAAGAGAAAGATTTTAAGGAATTGGCTTATGAAACTGTGAGGGCTGTTTAAATAAACAAAATTCAAAGAAAAGTTAAAGATCTAATAGGTTTTATTCAAAGACTCATAAATTGGGCAGCATCCCATCCAGCAAATCTAAGGTAACTCCAAGGAGATGTACAAAATGACAGGATTTTATAGGCAGAAACAGGCTGAGATAAGGAGATTAATTAGCAAAAGAAAAGATTGTTTCGGGCAGGGTTACCTTCTTTTAGGGGGAAAAACAGGGAGTCTTGTCATGCAGATTACCTCACTAATGCTATCAGTACCTTCCAGGTTGATGGGTTTAAAACTCCACCCCTGGGGCGCCTGGGTGGCTCGGTTGGTTGGGCATCCGACTTCGGCTCAGGTCATGATCTCATAGTCTGTGGGTTTGAGCTCCATGTCGGGCTCTGTGCTGACAGCTCAGAGCCCGGAGCCTGCTTTGGATTCTCTGTCTCCCTCTCTCTCTACCCCTTCCCGCTCGCACTGTGTCTCTCTCTTTCAAAAATAAACATAAAAAAAATGTTTTAAAACTCCACTCCTGGGAGAACCTGAAAATGTAAGTCTTAAACCTTGTGGGGCTTAGCAAAAATGACTCCTCTTTGGACCTGGACCTGTTGTTTCATTTTAACAAGGCGGAAAAGTTCCAAGATCTGCAGGAGGCAAGCTGGCGACGCAGGAGACCCCAGAACATAGTTTAAGGCCAAGTCTGAAGGCCTAAGAAGCAGAAGAGACCATGGTGTGAGTCTAGCCCAAACCCTAGAGCCGGAGAACAGGAAGAGCCCATCACGCGAGATCCAACCAGAGTCCTAGTCCACAGACCGGTGAAGACCAATATCCCAGCCTGAAGATTCTCCCTTACTCGCAGCCTTTTTATTCTATTCAGGCCTTCAGTGGATGGCATGGGACCCACCCAACTGAGGAGGGCAGCCTGCTTTACTCAGTCTACGGTTTCAAATATCAACCTCAGGGCACCTGGGTGGTTCAGTTGGTTAAGCGACTGACCCTTGATTTGGGCTCAGGTCACGATCTCATGGTTTGTGAGTCTGAGCCCCGAGTCAGGCTCCATGCTAGCTGTGCAGAGTCTGCTTGGGATTCTCTCTCTCCCTCTCTCTCTGTGTCTCTTAATTAATTAATTAACAAAATATCAATCTTATCTAGAAACACCCTTAAAGATGCATTCAGAATAATGTTTAGCCAAATGTCTGGGCACCCTATGGCCGCAACGTCGATACATTAAATCATCACACCCTAGCTTCCACCCCCCCCCAAACACTTCTGATCATGTGAAAAGCATCTAATTCCTTGTACTGAATCCTGTATCAGTGACAGTTCTGATAAGAAACATGGAACATTGAAATTCAGTAACTGGAGGATGTTTTATAAAGGTAATATTTTAAAAGATGAAGAGAGGGGTGCCTGGGTGGCACAAACCATTAAGTATCGGACCCTTGATCTCAACTCAGGTCATGATCTCACAGTTCACGAGTTGGAGCCCCACATCAGGCTGTGCCCCAATGGCACAGAGCCAGCTTGGGCTTCCGTCTTGCCTTCTCTCCGCCCCTCCCCTGCTCGTGTGCGTTCCCACGTGCATACACTCTCTCTAAGTAAATAAACTTAAAATAAAAATAAAAAGCAAAAGATGAAGAAAAACTACAAGGTAAAAGAAAACCAGGAAGGATCGTATAATAAATAGAGCTAGGCACTACGTGTGCCCTGAAGAAGCTAGTGGAAGGGGTAGTCGCTGTCACCAGCTCGACCCCAAGACCTGACCTTTACTGCCCACCTGTTTGTACTCACCAACATTTGTCTTACATTTTTCCTTCAGCTCTTCCTTCCAGCTCATCTCTTAACTGAGGCAGAGGACCCTACAGACATGGCATGGCATGATAGAAACTGAAACGACCCCTCAAGCAATACTGACTGCCCCAAGGAAGAACTCCAGGGGCGCAGACTACCCAGAACAGTTTGAGCTTAACCCCTAACTCGTGCCTGCGCAGATGGACCTCAGTAACCTCTGGAATAACCAACCATAATCTCTACCTCGTTCTAACACTAACATCTCCTGTGGGACCCAAGGAATTTAACAAAAATCTCCTACCCCTGGACAAGCAGAGCAAGACTAACTCCATTTTGTGCTACACCCACCATCTCGTGTATAACCCCCACATGACCTACTTATTGCTTAAGACACTCCCCCACCCTAGTCAAGCCGCTGAGCACACCCTTACTGGAAACCGGCTCATATAGGAATGCAGAACCCCTAACCGCCAAAGATGTAAACCCCGCCTTTTGCCCGCCAAACTTGCGCGCCAGTTCTGACCAGAATGATAGGCTAGTTCAAACAGTTACTATAGGGTAAGTTGTAATTCAATTGGCCACCTGCGTGTGGACTGACATGACTATGCAACTTTCTGTGTGTGTTACAATCTCATTGGCCACTGGCCCCTATAAAACTGCTACCCCTCCTAACCTAGGGGTACAAGTCCCGGCTCCACTGTGTGGGATATACTTGGGCCCAAGCTCGAGCTTGCAAATAAGCCCTCGTGCGTTTGCATCGGTATCGGCTCCTTGGTGGTCTCTTGGATTCGAAATTGGGGGCATTACACTCCACCCAAGGGGAAGCACAGGCCTCACTTACGTAACATGCTATGTATTCATAGGCATGTTTCTTTAAGGTGCACGTGTGACCTTATGTCTGCCTCTACATGTGATTACAAGGCTTTTCTGTCTAAATATTCGTCCTAACCCTACATAAAAGAAAGTTATTTGGGATGTCTGGGTGGCTCAGTCAGTCAAGCATTCCACTCTTGATTTCAGCCCATGTCATGATCTCACCAGTTCATGAGTTCAAGCCCCATGGCAGGCTCTGCACTGACAGCATGGAGCTTGTTTGGGATTCTCTGTCTCACTTTCTCTCTGCCCCTCCCCTGGTCATGCTGTCTGTCTCTCAAAAACCAATTTAAGGGGCTCCTGGGTGGCTCAGTCGGTTAAGTGACCGACTTTGGCTCAGGTCATGATCTTACAGTTAAGTGGGTTTGAGTTCTGCATCAGGCTCTGTGCTGAATGCCTGCTCAGAGCCTGGAGCCTGCTTCAGATTCTGTGTATCCTTCTCTCTCTGCCCCTCCCTGCTTGTGCTCTGTCTCACTCTGTCTCTCGAAAATCAATAAATGTAAAAAAAAAAAAAGGAATTTAAAAAAACTCTCTCTTCTTTTGAAAATAAATAAACAAATAAATAAATGAATAAATAAATAAATTTAAAACTTTTTTTTAAAAAAGGAAGCCATTCTCCATTGCTCAAGGAGTCATGGTTTTGGAAGTTGTTCCCTGTGACCTCATTGGCTGCAAATAAATTTACTTTGTGTGATGACTCCACATGGAGTTGTCTGTGACTCACCAGAGAGTGAATTCACATTAGCTCGGTTGCATTACTAGAACCCTAAGAAAGAAGGGTGAATGGAGAAGTTCAAATGGTAGTACTGTGATAAGGGACACAGCCACACACAGTGACCCTACAGAGATATTCCCACTTCACTTTTCTTTCTCCGTAGGGTTGTCGGATTTAGCAAATAAAAAATACAAAAAAGCCTTGTTAGTTTTAGTTTCAAGTTAAACAACAAATGATACTTTAGCTAAGGTGTGTCCCAAATTTTGCCTGGGTCACAGTTATACTAAAAAACAGATTGTTATGTATCAGAAATTCAAATTTAACCAGACATTTTATCTGGCAACATTTTTCTTCCCTCCAATTTCCTTTGAAACTCGATTGCAGGTTAGAGGGCATGGGAGCCTGTGTGATGCATTCCATATAAGTTCACCTACCCAGGTCATGGAATAAGATGGGAAAAAAGTGGAAAATGGATGCTAAGAAGCAAATAGATGTGCAGCAGAATCTTTTCATGACTACAATTCCCAGAAGGGTACCTGTTACCTTCATTAAACCCTGAACAATAAACCCTTTATTACATTAAGAAACTTTCTTCTTTTTAAACCTTTATTTTTTCAGTTTTAGATCCACAGCAAAATTAGGAGGGGGACAGAGATTTCCCATACACCTCTGTCCCCTCACATACATATCATCCCCTATCAACATCTCCAACTGGAGTGGTACATTTATTACAATTGATGGACCTATATTGACACATTATTATTACCTCAGATCTGTAGTTTACCTTAGGGTTCACCCTTGCTTTGCGTATTCTATGGGTTTGGAAAAATGTATAATTATAGTATCATACAGAGGATTTTCACTGCCCTGAAACGCTGTGCTCAGGCTAATATTCATCCCTCTCCCACCTGACTCTGGCAACTACGGATCTTTTTACTGTCTCCACAGTTCTGCCTTTTCCAAAATGTCACATATTTAGAATCATACAGTATATAATCTTCTCAGATTGGCTTCTTTGACTTTGTAATATGCTTTAAGTTTCCCCCATGTCCTTTCATGGCTTTCTACTTCATTTATTTTTAGCACAGAATAATTTTCCATTGTCTGTATGTACCAAAGTTTTATTTACTCACTTACCGACCATAGGACATCTTGGCTGTTTCCTAGTTTGGCAATTATGAATGAAGCTACTATAAATATCTGTATGTAGGTTTTTGTGTGAACATAAGTTCTCAAATCACTTGGGTAAATATCAAAGCGCATGGTTGCTGAATCTTATGGTAAGAGCGTGTTTAATTTTGTAAGAAGCTGCCAAACTGTCTTCCAAAACAATGAGTGGGAGGTCCTACAGCTACCCACTCTTGCCAGATTCAATATTGTCAGTGTTCCAGATTTTGGCCGTTCTAATAGGTGTGTAGTGATATCCCACTGGTTTTATTTGCATTTCCATAATGACATATGATGTGGAACATCTTTTCATATGGTTATTTTCCACCTACATATCTTGTTTGGTGAAGGGTTTGTTAAGACCTTTGCCCACTTTTTTAATCAGGTTGTGTGTTTTCTTATTGTTGTGTTTTAAGAATCCTTTGTCTGCTTTGGACAACATTCCTTTATCAGGCAAACCTTTTGCAAATATTTTCTCCCAATCTGGGTACTCTTCTCATTCTCTTGACATTTCCTCTCCCAGAGCAAAAGATTTTAATTTTAATAGAATTAATTTTATTTATTATTTTTTTCCTAGATTGTGCCTTTTGTATTATATCTAAAATGTCATCTCTGTACCCAAGGTATCTAGTTTTTCTGCTACATTATCTTCTTGGAGTTCTATAATTTTGCATTTTACATTTAGGTCTGTGATCCATTTTGAGTTAATTTTTGTGAAGTGTGTGAGGTGTGTGGATAGCTTCTTTTATTCTTATTTATTTATTTTTTTGTATGTGGATGCCTAGTTGTTTCAGAATCATTTGTTGAAAAGACAGTATTACTCCATTGCACTACTTTTGCTCTTTGTCAAAAGTTAGTTGATCTATATTCATCAAGGTCAATTTCTTTTTTTTTTCTTTTAAGATTTTATTTTTAAGTAATCTCTACATCCAACATGGGGCTCAAACTTACAACCTCAAGATCAAGAGTCATGTGCTCTACCAACTGAGCCAGCCAGGCACCCCTATTCATGAAGGTCGATTTCTGGGCTCTATATTCTGTTCCATTGATCTCTTTCTCTATTTTGTTGCTAATACCACATTGTTCAGATTACTGTGGTTTTGTAAGTGTTGAAGTTTAATATCAATCCAACTTTGTTCTCTTTCAGTATTGTGTTGGCTATTTGGGGTCTTTTTGCCTTTCCGTATAAACTTAATAATCAGTTTGTTCATGGGGTGCCTGGGTGGCTCAGATGTTTAAGTGTCTGACTCTTAATTTTGGCTCAGGTCATAATCTTACAGTTCATGAGTTTGAACCCTTTGTCGGCTGTGTTGGAATCTACACTGACAGTGCAGAGCCTGCTTGGGATTGTCTCTCTCTCTCTCTCTCTCTCTCTCCCTGTCTCTCTCCTCTCTCCCACTCACACTCTCTCTCTATCTCAAAATAAATAAACTTTTTAAAAAAAGAATCAGTTTGCTTATATATACAAAATAACTTGCTAGGATTTTTATTGGGATTACATTGAGTCTATAGATCACATTGGGAAAAATTGGCATCGTGACAATATGAGTCTTCCTATTCATGAACATTGAATATCTCTCCATTTATTTCCTTCTTCTTTGATTTTATTCATCAGAGATTTGTAGTTTTCCTCATGCAGATCTTGTACATATTCTGTTAGATTTATACAGAGGTATTTATTTTGGGGTTGTGCTAATGTAGATGGTGTTATGTTTTTAATTTCAAATTCCACTTGCTCATTGCTAACATATAGGAAATCAACTGACATTTGTATATTAACCTTGTATCCTGCCACCTTGCTATAATAGCTTATTGGTTTCAGAAATTAGAAACTTCCTTTTTATTACAAATTGATGGGATTTAAAAAATTATGGCAATACAGTGAACTTTTAAAAATACTTACTTTAAATCTATTGAAATGATTGTAGTGTTTTCCTGTTAAAGTCACTCAATTTACTGAATGTGCTAAGCTTTTCTAGGGGCTTGGGTTATTCTAATACACAAAACATAAAAATTTCAGCCTTTCTTTTCCCCTTGGAGAGCAAGAAGGGGACTCTTCCTGTTCCTCCCCAGCTTAGGGACCATGGCAAGACCATGGCAGGCCACACGGCTCCTGCTGGCCATTCTGGTGATCTGGTGGTCTCATTTATAAAGCAAGGAAGAAAACTTTTATGAGTGTCAAGGTGTCAGCAACAAAAACTACTGTGATGCTGTTTGTAACCAACAAGTACAACAGAGAAAGTAATACAAAGTGCAATCTCCACATGGTCCAAGTCTTAGAGCTTCAGAAGCAGACTGCTGATTATATGGAGCATCATATTTACACTGACATATTATGGTCCACATTTCAAAAGGTGGAGACTACTAATTGTGTCTTTCAGAATGGATAACTTCACAGGCAAATCAAGTGCTACTTTTCAGTGGTTTGGAGACTACAAAATTCTGAACAACAACTGCACTACCAATGGGTAGCTGTCCTGGAATGCACACTTGTGATTGTTCGAGAGTGTCCTACAATAGCAGTAATTCTCATTATGGTTTATAAATGTTTGTCAACTAATTAAAAAAAAATCCTGCCTTCCAACTTAGAGACATAAAGTAGAATAGTGGTTACCAGGAGCTGGAGGTGGTTATTGGTGGAGGAGAGTTATTGCTTGATAGGTGTAGTTTCTCTTTGGATGAAGAAAAAGTTCTGGAGGTAGATATTGGTAATGGTTTTGGATGTACAATCCAGCGGTAATGTAGTGATAATGTGGATCTACTCAATACAACTGAAGTGTGCACATAAAAGTGATTCAAATGGTAAGTCTTATATATATTTTACCACAACAAAAATATAATAAATAGAAATAGAAATTAAAACTTCCTGCCTTCAGAGTATTTACATTCTATTGAAGAAACTTTGGATTTAATTTTAAGAGCAATGAAAAGCTATTTCTATGTTCTGAGTCTTTAGATTACAAAACCTGATTTTAAAAATATACTACTTATTTATTTATAATTCAGGCTGTTTTGTAGAAAACTGTAAGGGAGCAAGAATAGAGACGGGCTGAGAGATAAATGTGGCTTTACCCAGCAGGACAACGGTGGTGATGTACTAAAGTGGGTATGTTGGGGATTTTAGATAAATGGAGCAGATCTACGTTACTCTCAGGGGGAATAAAAACCTCGATGGTAAAAGGATAAAAACAAGATGCAGAATATTACAAAGTCGGAATTAGCAGTTAATGTCCAAAAGAAACAGTGATGTCCGAAAGAAGCATGTATGTACTAAATGTTTCATATAGGTACATATACATGTATGTTAATGCACAGGAGATAACTCGGTGTTATAGAAAAAAATACATAAATAGAGGGTAGGGATTAGAGGGGTGATCAAAGGCACTTCATCTTTTTGTTTTAAAGCTTTTTTTGACGAATAGAATATATTCATATATTTAATGTGTAAGTAAAAATTAACTTTAAGAAAACTTCAGAAGGACTTTTGAATAACTGGTGGTAATAGTGACATACTTTTTTATTCTATCCATATCCACCTTAAAACTACACACGGTGTTCAAGAGAATGAGAAGACAAGACACAGACTTGGTGAAAATATTTGCAAAAGGCATACCTTGTAAAGGACTGTTATCCAAAATATACAAAGAACTCTTTAAATTAAAAAATTAACAAACCAATTTAACCCCTGAAAAAATACCTTACTGAAGAAAACGTACAGGTGGCAATTAAGCATTTGAGAAGGTGCTCACCATCATCTAAACATCCTATGTCATTTGGGAATTGCAAATTAAAACAGCAATGACATCTTTTAGAATGGTCAAAATTCAAAAACCTGATAGCACCAAATTCTGGTGAGGATGTGAAGCACCAGAAATTCTTATTCATTGCTTGTAGGAATGCAAAATGGTACAGCCATGTTGGAAGACAGTTTGGCAATTGTCTTAGTCTTTTTCAGGCTATCACAACAGAATAAAATAGACTGGGTGGCTTGTAAACACAGAAATTTTTTTCTCACAGTTCTTGAGGCTGAGAAATCCAAGCTCAAGGTATTGTCAGATACGGTGTCTGGTGAGGGCCTTTCCTGTTTTATAGCCAGCAATCTTCTCACTGTGTCCTTACGTGGCAGAAGGGGTGAGAGGGTTCTCTCGGGTCTCTTTTATAAGGACACTAATCCCATTCAAGAGCACTTGACCTTCCAAAGGCACTATCTCCTAATATTATTGCATTGGGGTTTGGGATTTCAACATAAGAATTTTGGGAGGACACAAACTTTTCTTACATAATTAAATATATTCTCTCTCTCTCTCTCTCTCTCTTTTTTTTTTAGATTTTATTTTTAAGTAATCTCTACACCCAACGTTGGGCTTGAACTCACAATACTGAGATCAAGAGTTACACACCACTCCACCAACTAAGCCAGCCAGGTGCCCAGAACTAAACATACTCTTATCATTGGATCCAACAATCACCCTCCGTGGTATTTGACCAAACGAGTTGAAAACTTACAACCACACAAAAAGTTGCACACTGATATTTATAGCAGCTTTATTCATAATTGCCAAAAGTTGGAACCTTCTCCCTCAGTAGATGATAAATAAACTGTGCTACATCCAAACTATGGAATGTTATTCAGTGCTAAAAACAAATGAGCTATGAAGCCATGAAAAGACAGAGCAACTTTAAGTGTATATTGCTAAGTGAAATAAATGAATCTGGAAAATGACATGTTTTATGATCCCAACTATATGACATCCTGGAAAAGACAAAACCATGAAGGTAGAAAAAGTAAAAAAATAGTTGCCAGGGGATTGGAGAAGGGAGAGGTGAACGGGAAGATTTTGGGGACAGTGAAACTATTCTGTGCGATTCTGTGTGGTATGTGCATGTCTTTATGCAAATATGGAAACCCACAGAACGTGCAACATCAAGAGTCAACCCTAATGGGATAAACTATGAACTTTGGGTGATGAGGATGCGTCAGCAATGTAGGCTTGTTGATTGACTGTAACAAATACTCCACTTTGGTTCGTGTTGTTGATAGTGCCCAAGACTGTGTATGTGTGCATGTATGCACACATATGTATGTGTGTATGTGTTGGGGCTGGAAACGTATGAGAAATGTGTGTAATTTCCACTCAGTTTTGCTGTGAACCTAAAACCGCTCTAAAAAATAAAGTCTATTAAAACAAATTTTTTTTAACATTTATTTATATTGAGAGACAGGAAGACAGAGCACGAGCATGGGAGGGGCAGAGAGAGGGGAGACACAGAATCTGAAGCAGGCTCCAGGCCCTGAGCTGTCAGCACAGAGCCCGAGGTGGGGCTTGAACTCACGAGCTGTGAGATCATGACCTGAGCCAGTTGGACGCTTAACTGACTAAGCCACCCAGGAGCCCCGAAAAGGGCAAGTTTTAAGTTAAATATATTTTACCATCATTTTCTAAAAAGGGAATAAAACCACCTATATCTCAAATTAGTGAAAACAAAATTTTCATATAGGTAGTACTGAGCACATGTCAAAAATGTATTTGAATCATTAATGTGAAAACCAGCAGAATGAGAACTCTGGTTCACTTCAAATGTGAGAAACCTGGATTTGTATCAACGATGATAAAAGGAATGCTGTAAGATAATTGCTAGATTAAATACAGCTGGCTTTTTAAAAAAAGTTTATTTAGGGAGATAAAGAGAGAAAGAGAAACAGCACATGATGCAAGCAGGGGCATGGCAGAGAAAGGAAGAGAGTCCCAAGCAGGCTCTGACCGTCAGCACAGAGCCCGATGCAGGGCACGAACTCCCGAACTATGAAATCACGACCTGAGCTGATACCACGAGTTGGATGCTTAACCAACTAAGCCATCCAAGAGTTGGATGCTAACCAGGTGCTCCACAGTTGGCTCTTGACCACCGTGGGGGTTAAGGGTGCCAACTTCCTACACGATTGAAAAATCCATGTGTGATTTTTGACCCCCTCAAAACTGAACTGCTAATAGCCTACTGTCAACTGGGACACTTGCTGATAATATAAACAGTCAATTAATACACATTTTATACATGTCTTATATACTGTATCCTTATTTATAATAAAGTAAGCTAGAGAAAAGAAAATGTTATTAAGAAAATCATAGGAAAAGAAAATATATTTATAGTACTATAGAGTATATTAAAAAACCTGCATATAAGTGGACCTGTGCAGTTCAATTTGTGTTGTTCAAGGGTCAATTGTATAAAATCAATATCTTATAGCAAAATAAAATAATAACCTTGGGGATTATAGTCTTCAGTAAACAGAAAACAATAATCACATTGTGTTATTATTCAGCTCAGGCTAGCAAAACAGAATACCACAGACAGGGTGGCTTAAACAACAGAAATCTATTTTTTTATAGTCTGGAGGTTAGAAGTCAAAGATCAAAATGCCAGTAGGATTGGTGCCTGATGAGGTCTCTCCTCCCAGCTTGCAGACAGCCACCTTCTCACTCTGTCCTCATAGTATCTGTTCTCTGTGCACGCAGTGTGGGGGACGCTCTCATGTCTTTTCTCTTGTAAAGACACCAGTTCTATTGGACTAAGCCCCTACCCAATTTCACCTAACCTTTATTACCTCCTTATAGGTCCTATCTCCAAATGCAGTCACATTAGGTGTTAGGGTTTCAACGTATGAATTTGATATAGGGACACAATTCAGTCCATATGACACATCTTACTACTGTTCTACAAGTTAGCCTCTAACTTTGCAATGTTGTAAAATATCTGGGCCCTATTCATTTGTAAACAGTAAGTCAAGTTACATTTCCAGAAGAACTAGAAAGTGCTATGACAGGATATTAAATCATGTAATCTTCTTTTGTTGCTTCCAAACTTTGCAAAGTATCCCTAAACAGAATAGATTATGGATATTCCTCAGGTGAATTAACATGACTCTAATTCATTTTAATAGCTGCATAATCAATCCATAGTGTAAATGTTCTACAGATAATCTATTCCCCATACTGGGTTTTTTTCCCCCACCTTTTTACACTAAAAGTGATACTGTTTTTATATCTTTGTATATATGTTTCTTGATACTGATGATTTTATTATTGTAAGATAGAGTCACAAAGCAGGGATATCTAAATCAAAGGAAATAAGATATTCCAATTTAAATGTTGTTGCCATGAGCTTTTAATAAATTTTGACAGTTTTAGGTGTAATCCCTTGTGTATTTTTTTTAATGTTTTTAAATGTTTATTTATTTTTTGGGAGAGAGACAGAGTGTGAGCAGGGGAGGGGCAGAGAGAGAGAGGAAGACACAGAATCTGAAGCAGGTTCCAGGCTCCAAGCTGTCAGCACAAAGCCCGATGTGGGGCTCGAACTCACAAGCTGTGAGATCATGACCTGAGCTGAAGTCAGACGCTTAACTGACTGAGGCACCTAGGCGCCCCATCCTATGTGTATTCTAATCTAGTTGGATCAAAACAATCCTAACGGGGCACTTGGGCAGCTCAGTTGGTTAAGTGTCTGACTTTCAGTTTCCGATCAGTCATGGTCTAATCGATTCATGAGTTTGAGCCCTGTGTTGGGCTCTGTGCTGACACTGCAGAGCCTGCTTGGGATGCTTTCTCTTTCCCCCTCTCTCAAAAGAAGCAAATAAACTTTAACAAAAATTCAAAAAAAAAAAATTCCAGCAGGATTGAAAATACTGATATCGGGGCACCTGGGTAGCTCAGTCGGTTAGGCATCTGACTTCGGCTCAGGTCATGATCTCGGGTTCAAGAGTTCAAACCCCACGTCAAGCTCTGTGCTGACAGCTCAGAGCCTGGAGCCTGCTTGGGATTCTGTGTCTCCCTCTCTCTCTCTGCCCCTTCCCCACTCAGGCTCTGTCTCTCAAAATTGAATAAAAGTTACGAGAAAAATGTTTAAAGAAAATACTGATATCCTATTGATAGCTGTTGACATCCCATGAAAAGATGACAAGTATGTTGCATGCCAAGGACTTAATGACAAAGACTGTTCAAGCCCTGAATTTAAAAAACAAAGCAAAAACCATATTTTTATTGGTTCAGAGAAAATGTTAATATTAATATTTTTCTGTTAAAAAAAGCCCACACAGAACTAGAATGAATAGAAACAACCCTTGAATAATATCTACAACAAAATGAGGTGATACAGCAATGCCATGAACGCCAAAGCATAAGCAAATAGCAACAAACCACCGAAAACTGTTGGAGATAAACAGTATCTGCATCTGTGCAAGAGGAAACAGGGAAGAAATAGAGGACCAGACAGAACTAAAATCTTCAGTTACTAATAGGTATTTATTGGGAAACCCCCGTGAAACAGTTGGAGAATAAAATCTGCAACGCCAGTATTTTGCACAGGTGTCTTCCGAAAGATAAAAAGGTACCGAGAGAGATGGTCTCATAAACTCTCAGAAATAACCGGCTAAATCTCTCCTCCTGGGAATGTTGAAGATTTAAGCAGTTCATAGACAACACAGAGGAAAAAGAGGATACAGACAAAACAAGTTACAGTGCAGAGACAGGATCAGGATATCTCAGAAAGCAAGCTGCTCCGTAACTTCTCATAAAAACAACAGAAGATGGCACTAGAGAGCTGTAAAATTGTCAAAACCATTAAATTCTACCTCTTAAAGTTTACACAACGAATTTAAAGTAAAAATAGAAAACAAAAATAGATCCGTGTTAAATCTTGTACATAGTTAATGTACTTTGTTAAATAGAGATTAAGAAACCAGGTAAGTTCCCAAAAGAAAATAAAAGGACATCAGGAACTTATGCTTGGAACACAAGATAGAAACAACACCCTCATATTTTAAAACTCGTTAAAAGACATTAAAAACTATAAAGAATTGAAAAAACAACATAAGAACCAGAAAAACATCAGAAATGAGGTAGCAATTCAGAAAAGAATCACTTCGGAAACAGAGGAAAAACTGGAAGAAACATAAAGTGAAGAAGCTCTGTAAAATGTCTTAAGAGGAAAAGAAGTAAAGGGGGAAAATCAAACAGAAATGAAGAAAAATGAAAAATCTTCAAGAGAAAGAGCAAATATAGAAGACAGGCAGGGAAGATCTTATATGTATATAAATATGAGCACAATAAATAATATGTGAATATTATAAAACAATAAAATATAATACATAGTATAATAACATCTCTCTTAAGAGTCATCAAAGAAAAAAATCGAAGCAAGGAAAAAGAATAAATACTTTAAAATATAATGCAAGAAAATTTTATACCAAAATTAAAACATTGAAAGGACACCTACATATCTTGGAAAACTGACCCTGAATGACAAATACTAAAACATATTTTTCAAAATTATTAGACTTTGGGAGTGCCTGGCTGGCTCAGTCAGTAGAGCATACAACTCTAGATCTTAGGGTCATGAGTTCAAGCTCTATGTTGATTGTGGAGCCTACTTTAAAAAAACAAATTATTAGACTTTTTAAGAAATAGGGGGCGCCTGGGTGGCGCAGTCGGTTAAGCGTCCGACTTCAGCCAGGGCACGATCTCGCGGTCCGTAAAAGTTCGAGCCCCGCATCAGGCTCTGGGCTGATGGCTCAGAGCCTGGAGCCTGTTTCCGATTCTGTGTCTCCCTCTCTCTCTGCCCCTCCCCTGTTCATGCTCTGTCTCTCTCTGTCCCAAAAATAAATAAAAAACGTTGAAAAAAATTAAAAAAAAAAAAAGAAATAGAAAAAGAAAATATTCTTTGGAGATTCAAAGTACAAGTGATAAACTAAAATGTATTGGAGTACCTGTGGCTCAGTCAGTTGAGAGTCTGACTACAGCTCAGGTCATGATCTCGCGGTTTGTCAGTTCAAGCCCCACATCAGGCTCACTGCTGTCAGTCCCTTGGTGCAAAGCCCGCTTTGGATCTTCTGTCTCCCCTCTCTGCCCCTCTCCCGCTTATGTTCTGTCAAAAAAAATATTAAAAAAAATTTATTGTCACTGTTCTTGATAGCAATGCTTTATGCCAATAGACAACAAATAGATTTAAGAGAGTCACAGAAAAGAATGTCAGCTAGGAATCTTATAGCCAGCAAATTTAATTTTCAGATCTAAAGGATGTAGAGTAATTGTCAACAACTTGTGGAAAAAACTCAAGGAATATTGTTGCTATGAGCCCTTATTTCCAAATCTACTAGAGAATGATCTTTGGACAATCACAATGGCTGGAATGACATTAACTGACCCAAAGATTAATGAGAATTGAATTCAATGGAGAACTAAGAATATATTGGGGATATAAGGAAGAGAATATAGTATTTCATGAATATATGCTCTAAAAATTAGATACAACAAAATGTAGAAACAATGGCTAAAGGAAATCTTGAAGTCTGGAATTGTGATGCTTTCAGCTTTGCTTTTTTTTTTTTTCAGGATTGCTTTGTCTATTTGTGGGCTTTTGTGGTCTATACGAATTTTACGATTGCTTGTTCTAGCTCTGTGAAAAAGGCTGTTGGTGTTTTGATAGGGATTGCATTAAATGTATACATTGCTTTGGGTAGAATAGACATTTAACAATGTTTGTTCCTTCAATCCATGAGAACGGAATGTTTTTCCATTTCTTTGTGCCCTTTTCAATTTCTTTCATAAGTGTTCAGAAGTGTTCTATAGTTTTCAGAGTACAGAACTTTTTCTTCTTTGGTTGGGTTTATTCCTAAATATCTTATTGTTTTGGGTACAACTGCAAATGGGATGGATTCCTTGATTTCTTTTTCATTATTGGTATATAGAAATACAACAGATTTCTGTAAGTTCATTTTATATCCTGTGACTTTGCTGAATTTATGTATCAGTCTAGCGGTTTTTTGGTGGAGCCTTTTGGGTTTTCTACATAGAGTATCATGTCATCTGCAAATAGTGAATGTTTTACTTCTTCCTTGTCAATTTGGATGTCTTTTATTTCTTTTTGTTGTCTGATTGCTGAGGCTAAGACTTCCAGTACTATGTTAAATGGTAATGGTGAGAGTGGACATCCCTGTCTTGTTCCTGACTGTAGGGGAAAGGCTCTCGGTTTGTCTTCCTTGAGGATAATACCAACTGTGGGTCTTTCGTATATGGCCTTTATGATGTTTAGGTATGTTCCATCTCTCCCTACTTTTGTTGACGGTATTTATTGAGAATGGATGTTATATTTTTGTCAATTGCTTTTCTTGCACCAATTGATAGCATCATATGGTTCTTATCCTTTTATTAATTTGGGGTATCATGTTGATTGATTTATGAATATTGAACCACCCTTGCAGCCCACTGCAATAAATCCCACTTGATCATGGTGAGTAATTCTTTTAATATACTCTAGATTTGATTTGCTAGTATCTTGTTGAGAATTTTGCATCCAGTTTCATCAGGAATATTGCCTTGTAATTCTCCTTTTTGGTGGAGCCTTGGTCTGGTTTCGAAATCAAGGTAACACTGGCCTCATAGAAAGAATTTGCAGGTTTTCCTTCCGTTTCTATTTTTTGGAACAGCTTGAGAAGAATAGGTATTAACTCTTCTTTAAATGCCGGGTAGGGGCACCTGGGTGGCTCAGTCGGTTAAGCGGCCGACTTCGGCTCAGGTCATGATCTCACGGCTCGTGAGTTTGAGCCCCGCGTCGGGCTCTGTGCTGACAGCTCAGAGCCTGCAGCCTGTTTTGGATTCTGTGTCTCCCTCTCTCTGACCCTCCCCTGTTCATGCTCTGTCTCTCTCTGTCTCAAAAATAAATAAACGTTAAAAAAAAAATTTTTTTTTAAACGCCGGGTAGATTTATCCTGGGAATCGATCTGGCCCTGGACTTTTGTTTGTTGGGAGGTTTTGATTACCAATTCAATTTCTTTGCTGGTTATGGGACTGCTCACATTTTCTATTTCTTCCTGTTTCAGTTTTGGTAGTGTGTGAGTTTCTAGGTATTTGTCCATGTCTTCCAGATTGCCCAGTTTGTTGGCATATAATTTTTCATAGTATTCCCTTCTAATTGTTTATATTTGTGTAGTGTTGGTTGTGATCTCTCCTCTTTCATTTGTGATTTTTATTTATTTGGGTCCTTTCTTTTCTTTTCAGTAAGTCTGGCTAGGAAATTATCAATTATATTAATTCTTTCAAAGAACCAGCTCTTAGTTTCATTGATCTGTTATACAATTTTTTTGTTTCTACATCATTTATTTCTGCTTTAATCAGTACTATTTTCATTCTTCTGCTGGCTTTAGGCTTTATTTGCTGTTCCTTTTCTAGCTCCTTTAGGCATAAAGTTAGGTTATGTATTTGAGACTTTTCTTGCTTCTTGATTTAGGCCTATATTGCAATCAACTTATCTCTGAGGACTGCCTTTGCTGCATCCCAAAGGTGTTGGAGTGTCGTGTTTGCATTTGCTTCCCTGTCCTTTTACATTTCTTCTTTAATTTCCTGGTTAATGCATTCTTTTTTTTTTTTTTTTTTTTTTTTTTTTTTTTTTTTTTTTTTTTTGGTGGTTCAATAAGTTAAGAATTTAATTTGGCTCAGGTCATGATCTCACAGCTCATGAGTTTGAGCCCCATGACAGGCTCTTTTGCTAACGGCTCAGAGCCTGAAGACTGGTTCACATTCTGTGTCTGCCTCTCTCTGCCCCTCCCCCACTCACACTCTGTCTCTTTCTCCTTCAAAAATAAACATTAAAAAAATTTTTTAATTTAGTTTTGAGAGAGCACAAGTGGGGGAGGGGCAGAGAGAGAGGGACAGAGGATCTGAAGCAGGCTCTGCACTGACAGCAGTGGGCCCAATGTGGGGCTTGAACTCACAAACTTTGAGATCATGACCTGAGTCAAAGTCAGATGCTCAACCAACCGTGTCATCCGGGGATTCCTCCACACACACACCCACTCCCCGCTTCGCCATTCATTTTTTAGTAGGATGTTCTTTAAACTCCATGTATTTGTGGTCTTTCCAAATATTTTCTTGTGGTTGACTTCAAGTTTCATACTGTTGTGTCCTGAAAATATGCATGGTATGATCTCAATCTTTTTGTACTTGTTGAAGGCTGATTTGTGACCCAGTATGTGATCTATTCTGGAGAATGTTCCATGTGAACTTGAAAAGAATGTGTATTCTGCTGCTTTAGGAGGAAATGTTCTGAATATATCTGTGAAGTTCATCTGGTCCAGTGTGTAATTCTAAGCCATTGTTTCCTAGTTGATTTTCTGCCAATAAACAGAATTCTAAACAAGAGTCAAAGAGTGTCATTTGGGAAGCAATGGCAAACAAAGAATATGGGTATATATGTCAGAAAATATAATAACTATGTACTATATAAATAAAAGAATAATAAGGATCATGTTTAGATTGAGAGGAGTTAAAGTTAAGGCAACTCCTTCTGAAATAAAGGACCTAGGCGATTTGGCCTCAGCAGATGATAAAGCCACTAGGTAAATGTGGATTTTTATAATGGATGACGTAAGCTGACATCACCTATGTTAGTTACCAATTTATTCCTTCTCAGCTTCAAATCTACCCTTTGGCCTACTCTGTGAAATGGATCGGGTCCCTTGTTTTTCCTTCTCCAGCTGGCTTAATGTTAAGATGGGTCTGTAGAGGTGCTTCAGGAGTTAATTGCAGGAAGAGAAAGTTTTGTATGTGGTCCAGTTGTTTGCTCACCAGGCTCCTAGGTGCATACAACTCCAGTGCCGGCTTCCTGCAACATAGGTAGTTTCTCCAGAATCAAGCTCTTACAGTGCTTGCAACTTCTAGAGGGCCTAGGTCCTGTAGTGAATGGTGACCAGCAGCTTCCAACTGGGCCCATACCCCAATAGCTTATTTAGCTGATCTTACTGTAGAATATGGTGTAATAAGGTAGCAAGATTTTTGAATTCTTGGGATTAGGTTTGAGTCCCATTAATTCTAGAAATAAGAGGATTTAAACCTCTATTATTTACTCTATCAAAGTAACTCTTTTATCAGACATATTTCTTTCTTATGTTTGGGGTGGAATACTTGCTGTGATGATGGGCAAAGATACATGTCATGTGCATAGGGGTTAGGGGTAGGAAATTTTTTCATAGAAGATGTATGAGTGGGTCATATCAGAATCGTGGGTAGGATGCTCGAATTCATAGGAAGGAGAATGTTAGGAATAGGGTTTTGACGGTAAAGTTAATGGTATATAGTTCTGGTATGTATGGGTTGTGAAATGCTCTGAAGGGTAAGATTGTTGTGAGAATATTTATTATGACGATATTAGCATATTCCACTAGGAAAAAGAGGGCAAAGGGGCCTGCTGCATATTCAACGTTGAGTCCGGAAATGAGTTCTGATCCTCCCTCTGTTAGATCAAATGGGGCTTAATTGGTTTCTGCTAATGTTGAGATGAATCATATTATGGCCAAGGGTCATGTGGGAGGATTAGTCATATGTGTTCTTGGGTGGTAACTAGTGTGGCTAATGTGAAGACCCCATTTATTAGCAATACTGATGGGAGAATAATGGCTAATGTAACTTTGTATGAGATTGTTTGGGCTACAGCTCGTAGGGCTCCAATGAAAGCATATTTTGAATTTGAGGCTCATCGTGATCAGAGGATTGAGTAGACAGCAAGGCTTGACATAGCTAGTGTAAACAGTACTCCTAGGTTTATGTTGATGAGTGGATATGATATGGGTAGAGGAATTCATATGGTTAGGACTAATGAGAAAGCTAAGATAGGTGCTCTAATGAATATGGATATAGAGGATGTGAGGGGTCAGAAGGGTTCTTTGGTGAAGAGTTTTACGGTGACTGCAATAGGTTAGAGTAGACCACATGGCCCATATGGCCCTACAATGTTTGGTCCTTTGCGAAGTTGTATATATCCTGATAGCTTAGGTTTGACTAATGTTAGGAAAGCTATGGTGAGGAGGATAGGAATAATTAATGAAAGATTGTTGATTATAAACATTTTGTTAGGGAGAGGAGTTGAACCTCTGATTATAAAGGTTTAAGTTTTATGCAATTACGGGGCTCTGCCACCCTAATGAACGCAAACTCTCAGGCAATGTAGATGGGTGAACTGTTTAGATTGAGATTAAATCATCTATTGGGTTGAAGGCACTTTGGTAAAGTAGGCCTCATTTCTCTTGTCCTTTCATACTGGGAGAAATTGTTTGATAGGTAGAAACCGCCCTGGATTGCTCCTGTCTGAAATCAGATCATGTAGGACTTTAATCGTTGAACAAACAAACCTTTGATAGCTGCTGTACTATTGGGATGTCCTGATCCAACATCGAGGTCGTAAACCCTCCTGGCGATATGGACCCTAAAATAGGATTGTGCTGTTATGCCCAGGGTAACTTGTGCCATTGATCAAGTATTTTGGATCAATAAATGATGTTATACTTTTGACTGGTTAGTCTAGATCTAAATCCCTCGGAGGTTATTTTATTCTCCGTGGTCACCCCAACCTAAATTGTTGGCCCATGGGGAGATTTGTTGTCCCTATTGGTTGTATTGGTGTAGTCTCTTTGGGCCAGTGAATTAAAGCCTCTTAGGGTCTTCTTGTCCTACTCCCCCCTCTTCACAGGAAGATCAGTTTCAAGGATTAGAAGTAAGAGACAGTCAAACCCTCATGTGGCCATTCATACTAGTCCCTGTTTAGGGAACAAGTGATTATGCTACCTTTGCACGGTCAGGATACCACGGCCGATTAATGAACGTCCTTGGGCGGGCAGGGCCTCTCATACTAGAAATGCTAGAGGATGTTTTTGGTAAACAGGCGGGGTTTGCATTTGCCAAGTTCCTTTCACTTCCTTTAATCTTTCCTTAGTTGCATGCCTGTGTCAGGTCAACAATTGGTTTGATATTTAGTTTATAGTTAGATTATTTTTATCTTGTTGTTAATTATCAGTATTATCTGCTCTGATATGAGCTTATGCAAGGAGAAATATTTCTTGTTGCTCATACGAGCATTAGTGCTTCTATTGTTAAATAGATTAACCCAGTATTAAGTTAGGTGTTGGTTGCATATTTTTGACATTAAGATGTTTTAATTGTTGAGCTTGAATGCTTTCTTAACCAATGGCTGCTTTTAAGCCAACTATGGTTATGTTTATGCTTACTCTCTAAAGAAGGTTGTATCCTCGTTCTAAAAAGCTGTACCTTTTTAGATTATATTTTAAACTTACATTAGAATTTTGGGGTTTTTTAGGTAGGTTTAAAGTTGAACTAAAATTCTGTTCTGGGTAACCAGCTATTACCAGGCTCGTTAGGCTTCTCACCTCTCCCTACAGATCTTCTCACTATTTTGCAACATAGATGAGTTCATCCTGTAAAGATTGTTCATAGGTAGCTCGTCCGGTTTCAGGGGGCTTAGCTTAAGTTCTCTTTGTTAGGTTGGCTAATTCATTATGCAAAAGGTATCAGGGGTAATCTTTGCTGTATAGTGCTTTTAATTTTTCTTTCATCTTTCCCTTATGGTACTCTCTCTATAGCGCCAAGTTAAATTTCTATCTCCTATACTTTTAAGAATTACCTAAACGTTTTGATTTGTTATTTTATGTTAGTTGAACATATGGTTGTTTGGGCTAGTTTTGGCTCAAGATGGTCAGTTTGATGTGAAATCTTCCGGGTGTAGGCCAGATTCTTTGTTTAAGCTACATCTTGCTTTGTCCAAGCACACTTTCCAGTATGCTTACCTTGTTACCATTTGTCTCCTCTTGTGTTTTTATAGTTTGAATAGATGGTCTTTGGGTTTTGTCACTTGAGGAGGGCACGGGCAGTGTGAGGCTCTCTATTCTCAATTCACTACTAAATCCTCCTTTGGTTCTTAATTTCCTAAGGGCTTCGTGGAAAGTGTTCTAGTACAGAAAATGTAGCACATTACTTCCCACCTCATAGGTTACACCTTGACCTAACTTTTTTGTGTTAAGATACGTGTGCTTACTTTGCTTCCTTTTTAGGGTTTGCTGAAGATCGCGGTACATAGACTGGATCAGCAAGGGGTGGGGAGGTAGATTGGGGTTTATCGATAATAGAACAGGCTCCTCTAGAGGGATATAAAGCACCACCAAGTCCTTTGAATTTGAAGCTGCTGCTAATAGTTGTCTGGCGGATAGATTTGTTTAATTAGCTGACTTTAGGGCTAAGCATAGTGGGGTATCTAATCCCCGTTTGGGTCTTCGCTATCGTGTGGTCGGAGGTGTTAAAGTTACTTTCGTGCTATATTTTTATGTTAACTGTAGCTTTTTACAGACTAGTTAAAGTTTAACGTTAGCGTGGGGGTCCTCTATAACATGCTTTATGCCATGGGTCTATCAGATCGGCTTAACCGTGTGACCGCGGTGGCTGGTCCAAAATTTACCAATCCTCATTTAATATGGCTTAATTGAGCTTTCATTCACGGCTTACTTTTTATCGCTGCTGTATCTCGTGGGGATGTGACTAAGCAAGGCGCCACGAGCTCCATTGTTGCGTGCTCGAAACCCGCTCCTTTAGATCATTAACGATTTAGAGGGCGTTTTCACCCGGGTGCGGAGGTTTGCACATGCAATCCTATTTACTTAATGGAAAGGCTAGGACCAAACCTTTCTGTTTATGGAGTCTGATGCCTAGATGAGCTAGGCATTTTCAGTGCCTTGCTTTGTGTATTTAAGCTACGTTAACAGGGAATATGCTGGGTTGGTCGATTGATTTATGGGATTAGTTGTGAGAGAATATTGCTCAATAGGGACGAATTGGAGCTCAAGGATGTCTTTGATTGTGTAGTATGAGTGGAATGGGATTTTATCCAAGTCAGATACTATTCCTGAGGGGTTGTTAGATCCTGTTTGGTGTAGGAATAGAAGGTGGACTGCTGCTAGGGCTGAAATAATGAATGGGAGAATAAAGCGAAAGGCAAAGAATCGTGTCAGGGTGGCTTTGTCTACTGAGAATCCTCCTCATATTTATTCTACTAAATTAGTTCCGATGTAGGGGATTTCTGATAGGAGGTTGGTGATGACAGTAGCTCCTCAGAAGGATATTTGGCCTCATGGTAGAACCTAACCTGTGAAGGCTGGAGCCATGACTGCAAATAACAGTACGATTCCGATGTTTCATATTTCTGAGAAGGTATAGGAGCCATAGTATATGCCTCAGCCTACATGCATAAATAAGCGGATGAAAAATATAGAAGCCCCGTTGGCATGTATATATCAAATGATTCAGCCGTAGTTTACATCGCGGCAAATGTGGGTTACCGATGAGAAGGCGGTTGCTGTGTCTGATGTATATAAAGCATGGCTAGGAATAGGCCTGTCAGAAACTGTAGGATCAGGCAGACTCCTAATAAGGAACTGAAATTTCATCATGCTGAAATGTTGGATGGAGCTGGGAGGTCAATGAATGATTCATTGATGATTTTGATGAGTGGGTGATATTTTCAGATGTTGGGCATTAAGTTCTTATAGTTGAAATATAACGATGGTTTTTCGTATCATTCATCATGGTTAGATTCCGTGTGGGAATAATGGTAACGTACATTGTATTTATTTAAGTACTATTTTTGTGATTAGGTCTGTCAGTTTTTCTTCAAAGCCTCCACCATTCTCCTTGATGGTGGATTTGGTTTGATTGTGGCTGGTGGTATTGGTTGTGGAATTGTATTAAATTGGGGGGTTCTTTATTAGGCTTAATGGTCTTTTTATTTGGGGGGTATGCTTGCGGTGTTTGGTTATACTACGGCTATGGCTACTGGACCATACCCTGATGTTTGAGCATCTGATAAGACTGTGTTAGGAATATTTATTACAGGGGTATTAGCAGAATTGTTAACAGCTTGTTATATTTTGAAAGAGGTTGAGGCTGTATTTAAGTTTAATGGTGCAGGTGATTGAGTTATTTATGATACAGGTGATTCAGGATTTTTTAGTGAAGAAGCTATAGGAATCACAGCTTTATATAGCTATGGAACCTGATTATTGTCACTGGTTGATCCTTGCTTACTGGTATGTTAGTAATTATGGAGGTTACTCGTGGAAATTAAGTAGGAATGGGCCAAGAATTAGGATGATCATAAAAGAAAGAAAGTATAGTTTAATTAATCCTTTTTGGCCAGATGCAGCAGGTGATGTTTTTATAGGAAAGTAGGAGATGGATTTTGGTAATACATTTTCTAATCAGATTATATCTAGTAGCACTGATGCGGATTTTTGGCTTATAGTTACGTTTGCTATTGGTGGGAGGCGGTGCACATGACTGGGAAGTATCCTAGAAGATTAGAGAATTTGAAGAGGTTTGAACGATATTTAAATTTTAGGCTTTTAGCTGCAAGGTTTATTTCTAATGCCGGAATGAAACCTATAATAGTCATGGCAAGGGCAGTTAATTTCAGATAATTAGGCATAGTTATCTGTGGAATTGTTGGGAGGATATTGTAATTAGGTACTCCGCAAAAATACTTCCGATTGAAAGATGTTGGATAGAGTTGATTAGGAGGGGATTATTTTCATTGATTAAAATTAAGGAATTGAAACGAGGCTGTCCTAGAAGTGAGAAGAATATGATTCAGATACTAATATGATTCGGTAGCTGTTAGAGATGTGGTGATGAGAGTTATTAGTAGGGCTTAGGCGTTGGCATACCATGTGTTGGTGGTCTCAATGATTAGGTCTTTAGAGTAAAAGCCTGTTAGGAAAGGTATTCCTGTGAGCGTGAGGCTTCCGACAATGAGGGATGTAGCTTCCTTTGGAATTCATCCTCTTAGGAGATTTTGTAGGAATTACCCTGGTAAGACAGATCCCTGTTAAAAACTTTCCCCTTGGGTCAGTGGGTTGAGCGTCCAACTGCTGCTCACCTCATGATCTCAAGGTTTGAGTTTGAGCCCCATGTCAGGCTCTGTGCTGACAGCTCAGGGACTGGAGCCTGCTTCAGATTCTGTGTCTCCCTCTTCCTGCCCCTTCCCCTTTCATACTCTGTGTGTGTGTGTGTGTGTGTGTGTGTGTCAAAAATAAACATTAAAAAAAATTTTTTTTAACTTTCCCCAGCACCCTGAAGATTGAATCTCAGTAAGTTCAGAGAGTGGACTCCTGTAAATTGCACTTCCACAACACTGGGAATTCTAGTTAAGTTCCAGGAAAAAGATTTCCAGAAAATTCCACCTCCGCACCACCATAGTGCATTCTCTGCCATTCTGTGAGTTATTGTCACAATCCACCCAATAAGGTCTGGCAGGGTGGGTAGAGGTATCTTTCATGGGCATTCTATCTTAGTCCTGAAGGTGGTAACTACTCGTGACATCTGATATGCCTGTGTTTTCTAGCATTCTCTTCACTTTTAACTAGCTAATCCCTTGTTATTCCAATCTCCTGTGGTAAGGAGAAAGTCAAACTGCAAGGTCTGAGGAAACAATTCCCACAAGAACTGTCCTCACTTCTGAAACCAGATGTAAGTTCAGGGGGTTCCCAAAACCACCCTCAGTTTCAATAATTTGCTGAAGGATTCACAGAATTCACAGAGAGTTATTATATTCATAGATTATTACAGGGAAAGGATATACGTGAAAAACCACCAAGGGAAGAGACATATTGAGCAGAGTCTGGGAAGGGTCCAAATGCAAATCTTCCGGTTGTTCTCTCCATATAGAAACATGATTAGTATTACCTTTCCCTGGCCATGAGGTGTGCACAAAGTATTGTCAACCAGGGAAATTCATCAAGCTTTTGGTGTCCATAGTTTTTATTAGTGATCAATCACATACTGCCCATGTGACTGGCTTTTAGTCAAGAACCCCTTCCACTAGTCAGGCTAATACCTGTAGTCTCCATTTCTTCCTGAGGTTGGAACTGATGTGGCATTGATATGCTGCTTAAGATAATGTCTTTTATTTTGAAATAATTTCAAACTATAAAGAGTTGTAGTCACACAAAAATTTCCTGCTTAACTTTTCTACTCAGATTCACTGATTGCTAACATTTTGCATCATCTGCTTTGTTGCTTTCTTTCTTTATACGCACATACTTGTTTTTTGTTTTCCAGAATGATTTGATTTAGTTGCAGACATAATGCTGCTTTGTCCTTAAATGCTTCAGCATGTATTAAATTATACGGGTATTCTCTTTCATAAATATAAATGAAGTATTGAAGACATACAGATGGCCAATAGACACATGAAAAGATGTTCAACATCACTCATCATCAAGGAAATGCAGATCAAAACCACAAGGAGATATCACCTCACACCTGTCAGAATAGCTAAAATCAAAAAAGCGAGAAATAACAAATGTTGGCAAGTATGTGGAGAAAAAGGAACCCTTGTGCACTGTTAGTGGGAAGGTAAGCTTGTGCAGCCACTGTAGGAAATGTTATGGAGGTTCTTCAAAAAATTGAAAATAGTCATGATGAGCACAAGGTGATTATGGAAACGAATTGCTATATCATACACCTGAAAAATATAACACTAAATATTAACTAAGAGGAATTAAAATAAAACATAAAATTATTTAAAATAGAATTACCAAATGATCCAGTAATTCCACTACTGGATATTTACACAAAGAATACAAAACACTCATTCAAAAAGATATATGCACCCCTATGGTTATTACACCATTATTTACAATAGCCAAATTATGAAAGCAACCCAAGTGTCTATTGATAGATAAATGGATAAAGAAGATGTAATATATACATACAATGGAATATTACTCAGCCATAAAAAAAGAATGATGTCTTTCCATTTGCAACAACATGGATGGATCTAGGGGGTATAATGCTAAGTGAAATACGTCAGAGAAAGACAAATACCATATGATTTCACTTATTTGTGGAATTTAAGAAGCAAACGATGAAAGACAAAAAGGGACAAACCGAACACCAGATTTGTTTTATTTATTCATTTTGAGAGAGTGAGAGACAGTGAGCAGGGAGGGGCAGAGAGAGAGGGAGAGAGAATCCCTAACAGACTCCATGCTGCCAGAGCAGGGCCCAAGGTGGGGCTCAAGCTCACAAACCATGAGATCATAACCTGAATTGAAACCAAGAGTCAGTTGCTCAACCAACTGAGCCATCCAGGTGCCCCCACTGCAAAAACAGACTCTTAACTATAGAGAACAAACTGATGGTTACCAGAAGGGAAGGGGATGGGAATGGGTGAAATAGGTGAAGGGGATTAAGAGGACACTTACCATGACGAGCACTGAGTAATATTTGGAATTGTCAAATCACTATATTGTACACCTGAAACTAATATAATACTGTATGTTAACTAACTGGAATTAAAACAAACACTTAAAAATATATTAAAAAATGATCAAAAAAGAAATTTTCTCAACATTCAAATATACACTAAAAAGTGTACAATCTTGTGCTATCATGGTTTTCATGATTTATTCAGCTAATAAATCGGTCTGTAAAAATATGCATAAAATATTTAAATATATACATATATTTATATATAAATATGTATATATTATACATGTATATATAAATATACATATAAATATACATATATACACATATATATGTATGCATATGTGTATGCATATGTATGTATGCATATATATGTATAAATTTATATATATATATATATGAAGTATCAAATTCCACTGTTAGGATACGATTCCTAGAATCCAAATTTTATTAATTGTCCTAATATTTTCCATTATGGCAATTCTCCCTTTCCCTGTCCCCAGCGGGGATCTGGTCTGGAAGCAAGTATTGTATTGATTTGCCATGTCTCTTGTCTCCTTCAACTTGTGAAAGCCCCTTGGCCTTTTTTGTCTTTCATGACCATGACAGTTTTGAAGAGCCCAGGCCAGTGATTTGGCAGTGAATGAATTTTAATTTTTTTTTTCAACGTTTATTTATTTTTGGGACAGAGAGAGACAGAGCATGAACGGGCGAGGGGCAGAGAGAGAGGGAGACACAGAATCGGAAACAGGCTCCAGGCTCTGAGCCATCAGCCCAGAGCCCGACGCGGGGCTCGAACTCACGGACCGCGAGATCGTGACCTGGCTGAAGTCGGACGCTTAACCGACTGCGCCACCCAGGCGCCCCAAGGCAGTGAATG